TATTTTGAATAAAAAAGGAAAAACAAAATAAACATGTCATAGTGTGGCTGCATGACGTGCAGCCAATGAACCCAAATGAGCGGATTGTAGCCAAGAGCGCCTCAGGATGATAGACGACAGACGCCACGGGAAAATCGGACCGGATTTTACTATTTATAATAAAATATTAGCTTTTAGACTTGTTAATGCTGAAAAATGGGAGGTTTATCTTTGTAAAACACATTTTTTTTTTGGGGGGGGGGATGATTTAAAGGCCGAAATATGTGAGGTTTGATATTTATAAAACCTTTTTTTTGTGAAAAAAAAAAATGATTTAAAGGCTGAAACATATTTAATATGTGCCTTGGGGTGGGCCGGGGATGTCTTTTTTGACCATACATGTGTTTGCATCCCTGATGATAATAATGTTACATTAGTATGTGATCTTTTTATTGAAGATGGGTGTTTAATATACATATTGAAAATTACTTGAAAAATTTAATTGACAAATTTAATTTTCCTGTCACGCCAAGAATTTGCCATCGTTTTTGATGCTATTCCCACAGGTATCATTTCATTGTTTAGAGGCTTTGAAAGCACTTTGTCTGCCACACCACCGATTCTTGATCCCACTCAAACAATGGTGGGCAAGTTATCTCTAGTTCCATATTCATAGGTCCATTCGTGCTCTTTTTCAGAAAGATATTGTTACCAAGGCTTATCTATTGGAGCAATTTTGTGAATATTATGGACTGGAGAAAAGTTTGGTTGTTGCCACATAAATACCTTATTGTAAATAAAGTCAGAGAAGTCTCATTTAAATTAATTCATTTGTTCTATCCAGTGAAAAGTTACCTAAAAATGTTTAAAACTGACATTAAAATGTGATTTTTTGCAATGAACAAGATGAAACTACTGTACACTTATTTTGGGACTGTAATTTTACCAAATGGTTTTGGAAGAGCTTTTGCAGGTGTATATCACCCTAATTTCTCTTTATTTTGGAAATATGTTTTATTTGATTCTATTAATACAGAGAAAAACTTTGAGAAAGAATCTTACTTTATAAATCTTTTACTTCTCCTAGCAAAATTTCATAATCATAAGTAAACTGAAACTACTGTACACTTATTTTGGGACTGTTACTTTACCAAATGGTTTTGGAAGAGCTTTTGCAGGTATATCACCCTAATTTCTCTTTATTTAAGAAATATGTTTTATTTGATTCTATTAATACAGAGAAAAACTTTGAGAAAGAATCTTACTTTATAAATCTTTTACTTCTCCTAGCAAAATTTCATATTCATAAGTGTAAATTTTCCAATCATAAGCCATTATTCAAAGTCTTTCTCAACGAATTTTACCAATACCTTCAAACGCTTTCTATTTCAGAGAAGACCAAAGCAAGGAAAACGTCTCAGGTCACGTCAGTAACACTAGTTCCCTGAGAAGGGAACGAGACGATGCGTCGATGACGCTTTGGGAACGCCTTTGCATGACTGAGTCTGAAGCACTACTGTCAACTAGTCCAATGGAATGAATGGAGCGTCACGGGCGGGTGACATCATGACCTGGAAGATATATAATCCGCCATTGCTGAGGGCAGAACATTAGAAGAAGCAATACGAGCTAAACGAAGTGAAATGAGTTTCGTGCTAAAAAGTGAAAATGGTCATCTCCTGCTGGGTCAATGGATGTTCAAATCGTGCCTGAGGTTCAGTTAAATTGGGATTTTACAGTATACTCGTCATTAAAATCCATGAATGTGAGAAGACTAAGCTTTTGTCAGAACAACGACGGAGGGCTGGCGAGGATAAACAGGAAAGAAACTCACTCAAAACACGCAAGAATTTATTTGACAAAAGCACAATGTTGTGTTTTATTGTGAGTGTAAACAAATATAAGTTAACACTTTGCAGTTTGAATAATGTCCTGTATGAACAAAACGACGAGGTTTCAAAAGCATACATAACAACATTGTTTCCACTGTTCGATCGCACCTGCGACTCTCTCTTTTTTATCAAACTTGATAAAAGCAGTTTGTTGCCATCAAGTAATACGTTTGTTTGTTTAGCGCTTTTCATAGTAGGTTGCGTCAACAGCAGAGGAGAAAGTCCGCGAAATTTAAAACTATTACTGTTATTGTGTCATGAAATGTAATTTTAAGAGTTTTTAAGTCGAGAATATAGTTGTTTAAAGCTCAAATCTGTGGTTTATTTATAAAGATTGCGCCTTTTTAAAACATTGTTCTGACGTTTTCGGAGTTGTCAGAACCAGGGATCAGCAGCACATCTAACTAGCCCGCCTGGAACAGCCTTAACTCGGGTAGTCATTCTGACGTTTGCCGCGGATAAATGCTATGCTACTATGTAAGCTAACTAAAAAACAATAAGAAGGAGAAATGTTTAAATTTACAATCTACAGCTTCGGTTATATACTAGTATATGAAACATATAAGTTAAATACATTAATGACTCCTTATAACGTACTTCAAACGTCTCTTATAATAAACTGATTTTCTCTAATTTGTAACCAGGCACTAAAGCGTTTTCCCCATAAAACTAGCTTTGAACCAATCGGATCGCTTGGGTCCTAAGGTGGGACTCATCTCTTCACCACAACGGCAGTGTTATCAAACGTTCATTTGCTCTTCCCTGCTTCGTCACAGTTTGAGACATGACGGACTGTGACGGTTGGTTAGTTTAGTTCATTTGAAATGGAGAGGCGCGAACCGAAGCCGGATTAACATTTTCATTAGTAATTTAATTTCTGCTCTGTACTTTACACAAAACTATTACAATACTGCCAGAGAGAAGACTGCGACTGAAACGCTTCATCATGTGAACGGCTTTTGGTAACGGTTTTGACATTTTCGCAATAAATAAATTATTGTGATTATACTTGTCTGTTAGTTATGTTTTTCTTCATAATTGTAGTTTGTTACGTAGTTTTAAGGAATTGTTATGGGTAGGTTTAGGGGTAGGAGTAGGATTGGTGGCTCAAAATATATTTTAATGCTGCCCTTAAAACTGCCCTTTCCCAACACCTGTCCGTTACGTTTTATCCTTTTTTATATTAAGTTTAAAATGGGTATGTTTGGGATTATGGTTACGTGATCTTATATTTATCTATAAAATGGTAAAAAGGGAAATTATACAGATCTTTATGATATAGAATATACATAAATAGTTTACGTTTTGTAGCTGTAAAAACGTAATAATGTTACGTTTAAATGTTGCAGATACGTCTATATTATACGTTTCAGCATCTATCCAAACGTACTAAAAAGTACGTTTTCTGTCTTTGCAAAAACGTAAAATACCTACGTATTAACAATGAGACCAGGCTGGATAGTCTAGCATCACGCTACTTCGCTATGATGACTAAGTTACTTTTCCATTGATCGCACTTGAGCAAACGTCACCAAACCAACCCTCGGCAATCTGATTGTACGCCTCCAGTGATTTCCAGGCTCGGAATTGCTCGCATGTGTAAAAACTCCATATGATGGTACACATGAAAATACTGTATCTGAGACAAAGCTGCATAATCAGTGCTCAGTGCTTCCTTCGTTACTGCATACCGATCCACACCATTTATGAATGAAATTTTCACATTGTAGCCTACCTCTCTGTCTTGATTTAATAGAGTCTCTTTATAATCTTTTTCACTTTGTCTCTTCATGATTTGTGTAACATTATAAACAGAAGTAAATATTTGTTTGTAAAACAACATTCTCTGATAAAACTTGGTAAACACCTATGGTAAACAAAGCAGCTTATGACCTCAAAGTCAAAGATGGCGTCTCCAGGGAGGTCACGTGACATTAATTGGCCTGTGGGAACTATGTATGAGTGACGAAGTAACAACTTACTCTTTAGGCCAAAACGTGGAAGTGAGTTAGCATTTAGCAACAAGGTACTACGTATTGGACCATCCAGCAGGGTCAGCGTGCTACAGGCTGCAGCAAGGACCTCTTAGGGTTGCCAGCTAGTTCATGTATTTTTTACAGTAACGTTTCTGTAATTTAATTTACAGAATTTTACAATAATTATTCTCTGATTACAGTAAATAACAGTATTTTTAAATTGTTGTATTTTTTACAGTAAGTAACATGAATCTCTGTATTTAACAGAGTATTTGCTAGAGGAAGTATGTAATAAGCAGTATATACAATATATTGCTTTCTTGATTTCTGAATATTGACTGGAAGCTGAATTTTAAATGTTAATTAGGCTATTTATCAACTGCATAAGCTTTAAACTATTGTTATTAAATACATTGAGTGTTGTATAATGCACAACCTAATTCCTCTATTACTTCACAAAACAAACAAATTATTCAACATCCTAATCTTAAAGGTCAATCTCAATATTTATTTAATTTATAACTTGAAAATATGCATGAAAAAGTCATAAAACATTTTATTTTGTATTATTTTGATATTTCTTTTTTTTACAAACTTTTTTTAAATGGACATTGGACAATTAAATATTTTTTAATTACTTAAAACAAATTAGCTATCAGGGCCCAAGAAATACCCAAATGACATTTTAAACCACAAGTTGACCAACATGATCATAATAAAATGGTTCTGAAAAACACAAACATGGATTAATTTTCACCACTTCCAGAAAATTACTAGCAGACAAACATGTCCAAACAACAAGGCCTCAAGTGAGTCCAACAAACGTATGATCAAAAATGGAGAATAATGGGCTCTATGCAGGGCGGTATATCCGGTGAAGATCTAAGGATGCTGGATTACTTCCACCAATCGTAGACTCCAATGCTATACCGAGAATTTATATGGGTTTTTATACTCTATGGCTATACTAAAGAAACGTTAGTCACAAAAAAAGACACAACAGACACCCTTCGTTTTTTAAATGCTTCTTTGTTTATTATATTAAATAAACATAACTATATATAAAATTACATCTAAACGTAGTAAAGTTTCGTTTCAAAGACAGGAGGACAGTACATTTTGAAGACTCTGCCATAATCCCCTTTTCCTCGGTTCTCCTCCGCTTTAAATCTCCCCAACCGGAAACTGAAGAGCAGACTTGCGTCAAAGGCGGAACTTATGCGTGCATATATCTATTCAGCTCCAGATGCTGTTCCATCACAGGATGCAAAGAGTGGCTAGAAATATTGAAAAGGACAATATATTAGATACATTACAAAACATAATGATACAGTCAGAGACAGATAGTGGGATGACAGATGCACTTAGAGACAAATATTAGAGAATAATAAAAAGGTGTGTGTGTACTAGCTAGAAATTACCTTACTAGCTTGCCAATCCTCCTAAAACTCACTTCCATCCGGTTCACCAAATGTAACCGGTCCTACTCCACCTGTTCTGAGCGGGATTCGAACCGACGTCTCCGGCATGTGATGTGGGTGTGCTAACAAGAATCAGAGTCAGAGTGGTGGTCTGATCTCTTCCTTTTCCGTTCTCTACTCTTTGAACTGCCAGACGTCTTTCTTTTTCTTTTAACACCCTGTCTCATCTCGACCTGACTGCCTGAGCTTTGGTCAGCAGGTGTTGTGGAGCGTCCGGATCTGCTGTTGACCAGGTGAGAAGGTCCAGGCTGTTCGTCATCTGTGCTGGTCCCATCCATAGATGATCCTAAAGCTCTGGCCTCACTGTTGTCTCTGTTAGAAGGTCCAGGCTGATCATTATCTGAATCAAAATGCGATTTCTTCTTTTTCCATTCTCTGCTTTCTGACCTGCCAGACGTCTTTCTTTTTCTTTTAACACCCTGTCTCATCTCGACCTGACTGCCTGAGCTTTGGTCAGCAGGTGTTGTGGAGCGTCCGGATCTGCTGTTGACCAGGTGAGAAGGTCCAGGCTGTTCGTCATCTGTGCTGGCCCCATCCATAGATGATCCTCCAGCTCTGGCCTCACTGTTGTCTCTGTGAGAAGGTCCAGGCTGATCATTATCTGAATCAAAATGCGATTTCTTCTTTTTCCATTCTCTGCTTTCTGACCTGCCAGACGTCTTTCTTTTTCTTTTAACACCCTGTCTCATCTCAACTTGAGTGCCTGAGCTTTGGTCAGCAGGTGTGCTGGATCCAGTGGTTCTGATCTCAGATCTGTTGTTGACCAGGTGAGAAGGTCCAGGCTGTTCATCATCTCTGGATGTTTCTCCAAGTAATGCTGGAGAAGAAATGCCTGAGATGAGTGAAAAACTTGAAGAATCAGAGTCAGAGTGGTGGTCTGATCTCTTCCTTTTCTGTTCTCTACTCTTTGAACTGCCAGACGTCTTTCTTTTTCTTTTAACACCCTGTCTCATCTCGACCTGACTGCCTGAGCTTTGGTCAGAAGGTATTCTGGATGCTCCGGATCTGATCTCACTGTTGTTGGCCCGGCGAGAAGGTCCAGGCTGTTCATCATCTATGCTGGACCCATCCATATGTGATCCTCCAGATCTAATCTCAGAGCTGTTGTTGATCTGGTCATCTGGTTGAGATGGTCCAGGCTGTTCATCGTCGGTGCTGGACTCACTCACTGATGTCTCCACACGTTCTGCCGGTTGGGTATTAATATAAACTGGATAAAATGCAATATCCATAGAGTCACCTGATGCGTGCAAAGTGACAGACCAGTGATCTGCATTCCAGGCCAGCATGGAGAGCAATGGATTGTGTTCAGGACCAGCTGTCAGGAAATTCTGAGCAAGTTCATTTATAGACATTCGAACCAACCTAATATAAATACTTGGCCTGATAGGAGCTAAACGAAGTTGAATGCGTATATCTGGAAGAGTCCTCCGGACATCACCATCTTCAATTGTAGCTTGAATCACATAATCTGGCAACAATTCCAAAAAAGGTAACTCATCAAAACCGTCATCCTGAATGACATGTTCAGCGATGTTGCCGTCACCTTGAGCCATCTGAACTGTACAGTTATCTGCTGACCTAAAAAAACTGGTATTTGTTCGCTAGTACCCTGGCAACACTGATTACCTTTCTCAACTACTGCTGTTATGAGCCTCTGAGTTGCAGCAGTTATTTATACAGTACAGCTTTTGCTTAGAATCCTACTGTGACGTCATCAGTGGAACCAGGCAAGCCAGGGCAAGTGACCCGTTTAAAAAACAACAAACTCTGTATGTGATGTCATCAGTGATGTCATCAGTGGTACAAGAGAGCAAGGGATCCGTTTAAAAAACAACAAATTCTTTACAGCTGTGAATGATCCAACAAACTGAAGATATCCAGTAAGTTGCTGTTGTTGATGTTGTATGTATGTGTGTGTGTATGTATACACACTAAAACATTAACAACAACTTACTGGATAAGTTACTTAAATTACTGAACTTCAATATACAAGCTTGATATGCAAGACAATTTCAAATGGAGGCTTTTGCATCTAAACTCTTCATATATATATATATATATATACATTATATATATATATATACAGTATGTATGTATACAGTATATATACAGTATGGATAGATAGTGTGTACTGTATGTACAGTACATGACATCTTAAGGCATTTTTTACTTGCGTAATTTCACGTAACATTGTGTATGGTGTCACTGGATCCATCAGTCCATCAGAACCATCTGCATAAAATAAGATTTACAGCCCAGCTTTAACATCCAGACCACACTCATTGCATAATTTATCATCAGGTTAACTTGTAACATCCTTAAGACAATTAAGGACCTGAACTTATTAGTCTCTTTAGGCAGAGGGATAAAGCATGGTCAAATTTTCGCCGTACTAAGGGCTAATGTAGATTGGGAAATATATAGACAGCTGAGAAATATGAGTAAGACCAAAACCCACAATGCAAAATACAATTACTATAAGGATAGCTTCCATCAATTTAAATTAATTGTATTATCATTCTGTGATCCAAATACATATATATATATACATTCAATTTCAAATGTATTTCTGCCAGTTTGATCTAGTGGTTGTAAAATTCTGTATATTTTGGTTAATATTGTTGTTATTCTATTTATTTGTTTTATTTTTATTTTATTTTTTGTTTTGTTTTTTTGTTGATTTGTGTTTGTGGTTCTGTATGTATTTGTTTTTCCAATATGTATAATTGTACTTTTGTTTATTTTATTATTGTTCTTTTGTGATGGCTGTGATGTATTTTAGGACCCCCTTGAAAACGAGATGATGCATCACAAGGGGTTTATCCTAATAATATATATATATATATATATATATATATATAAATTATGTGTTTGAAATCTGTTAGAGCAGTGTTTCTCAACTCCAGTCATGAGGACCTCCTTGTAAGTTATATGTCCACTATTTAAAACACCTGATTTAACTAATTAACTCAACAGATAATATATCTAAAGGCAAGTTCTGATATTGAATACATGTGTAAAATATACAGAGGTTGTTAAGAATTCAATCATTACCTTTGAGTGCAGGCTGCCTCCTCCTGATTGAATATGTAATACGCAGTGAACAGTAGCAAGGCCGGACAGCAAGCTGGGCTGAATGCTCTCCTCACACACAATTTGGCCTTCCAGTGTCCACTTGTCAAAGTGTCTCCTTAAACAATACCACATGGGACAATAGTTTATTTTTTACTATGCCATTTTAATTTTCAGCTTTTTCAATTTAAACTATATTTTAGTATTCAGATCGCGGGAACTCTTTCTTTTAAATAAAATTAACAAAGCAATTATGCAAATAAGCAAATTACACACAAAAAGTAGTCTATAGCAAAAATATATAGGATATATTCGGACTGAAATGTAAGGGATTTTTACATATTAAACATGCGATAAAACTGGTATTACAGAGCCATTCAGAGTGCAGGTTAGCGTTATATGACGCACATCCTCCGAGAGTCTGACGCAAGGCTTTAGCAACAGCGTTTTCATTTCGGCACCCATTTTAAAAGATTGATTTTGATTTGATTTCCACCATAAAATAATCACGACAAAGTGTACTGATGAACACGAAGCTCGTGTGAATACCGACTGTTGTTATTAAAGCATGTAATTCTTAAAATCGGGGCCCATACTAGATCCTGAGGAATGTGTGAAATACTGCCGCATCCGGGCTGCTGAGGAATCAGCAACAAGAACAAGAACAAGAATCAGGATCAGAATCAGAGTCAGAGTGGTGGTCTGATCTCTTCCTTTTCCGTTCTCTACTCTTTGAACTGCCAGACGTCTTTCTTTTTCTTTTAACACCCTGTCTCATCTCGACCTGACTGCCTGAGCTTTGGTCAGCAGGTGTTGTGGAGCCTCCAGATCTGCTGTTGACCAGGTGAGAAGGTCCAGGCTGTTCATCATCTGTGCTGGTCCCATCCATAGATGATCCTCCAGCTCTGGCCTCACTGTTGTCTCTGTTAGAAGGTCCAGGCTGATCATTATCTGAATCAAAATGCGATTTCTTCTTTTTCCATTCTCTGCTTTCTGACCTGCCAGACGTCTTTCTTTTTCTTTTAACACCCTGTCTCATCTCAACTTGAGTGCCTGAGCTTTGGTCAGCAGGTGTGCTGGATCCAGTGGTTCTGATCTCAGATCTGTTGTTGACCAGGTGAGAAGGTCCAGGCTGTTCATCATCTCTGGATGTTTCTCCAAGTAATGCTGGAGAAGAAATGCCTGAGATGAGTGAAAAACTTGAAGAATCAGAGTGGTGGTCTGATCTCTTCCTTTTCCGTTCTCTACTCTTTGAACTGCCAGACGTCTTTCTTTTTCTTTTAACACCCTGTCTCATCTCGACCTGACTGCCTGAGCTTTGGTCAGAAGGTGTTCTGGATGCTCCGGATCTGATCTCACTGTTGTTGGCCCGGCGAGAAGGTCCAGGCTGTTCATCATCTCTGCTGGACCCATCCATATGTGATCCTCCAGATCTAATCTCAGAGCTGTTGTTGATCTGGTCATCTGGTTGAGATGGTCCAGGCTGTTCATCATCGGTGCTGGACTCACTCATTGATGTCTCCACACGTTCTGCCGGTTGGGTATTAATATAAACTGGATAAAATGCAATTTCCATAGAGTCACCTGATGCGTGCAAAGTGACAGACCAGTGATCTGCATTCCAGGCCATCATGGAGAGCAATGGATTGTGTTCAGGACCAGCTGTCAGGAAATTCAGAGCAAGTTCATTTAGAGACCTTCGAACCAACCCAATATAAAAACGTGGCCTGGTAGCAGTTAAATGCAGTGGTATGTGTATATCTGGAAGAGTCCTCTGGACATCACCATCTTCAATTGTAGCTTGAATCACATATTCTGGATTATCAAAACCGTCATCCTGAACGACATCTTCAGCGATGTTGCCGTCAAAAGGTTCACCTTGAGCCATCTGAACTGTACAGTTATCTGCTGACCTAAAAAACTGGTATTTGTTCGCTAGTACCCAGGCAACACTGATTACCTTTCTCAACTACTGCTGTTATGCAGCTTTTGCTTAGAATGCTACTGTGATGTCATCAGTGTCATCACGGTAGCATTCTTTTGCTTAGAATGCTACTGTGATGTCATCAGTGATGTCATCAGTGGAACAAGAGACCAAGGGATCCGTTTAAAAAACAACAAACTCTGTCCGTGATGTCATCAGTGATGTCATCAGTGGAACAAGAGAGCAAGGGATCCATTTAAAAAACAACAAATTAGTACTGATCCAACCTACTGAAGATATCCAGTAAGTTGCTGTTGTTGATGTTCTCTCTCTCTCTGTGTATGTTTGTGTGTGTGTGTGTGTATACACACACACAAAAACATTAACAACAACTTACTAAATAAGTTACTTAAATTACTGAACTTCAATATACAAGCTGTATATACAAGAAAATTTCAAATGGAGGCTTTTGCATCTGAACTCTTCATATTATATAGTATATGTATATCTCTCGTACATCTCACAATTTCTTTGTGTTTAAGTTTGTGTAAGTAAGACATTAATTTCTGAATAAACTGTGCTTCATATGGGCTTATATAATAACTAAAAGTAACATTGCCAATTTATTTATTTATTTTGGTTGTTAAGTTACATTTATCTGTTCAAGTGCACTGCTGTCCCCATCAGATTCATATATTTAAATATAATTTAAATATTTAAATTTGTTTTTATGCCAGAAAAATGCAACTGATTAAATGACAAACAGCATTATTGCATATTTATCTATTTTTTTACAGTCTATGATATTTATATACAGTATATTTAAAAAATATTTATTTTCTATGGTGGCCTGGAGAGCTCATTGCGCTGCAACTGTAGAAAACTCATGCAAATAGAAAAAAACACCAGCAAGAAAACATCTGACAAAAACATCTGTTTGAAAATAACACGCTGCGAAAGTTCACTAATGTTCACTTCAAATGTCTGTCCCCACAAATCTGTCAGACTATCACGAATACCGTAAAACAGTTGTAGGAGCCATACACTGGGTTTTGTTTGGGCTTTTATTATGTTTTCTCTTTTTCTTACACTCTTGTGTACATGCACGCGCATGGTGAAGTCATCGGTGACTGTGGGTGTTACCGGGGGTGCGACGTCTGTATTAATGTGTGAGTGTGCTCACCTGTGCGCAAGCTTGGGTTTGGATCATGGCTGCAGGGTGAGCATGGGGAGAAACTTTCTGTTGACCGTCACCACTGGCTTTACCACTGTTTTTCCCACCAATGTTATCATCACTAACATCCGTTACTGATGTCTCTGAGGTACCTTTGCACTGCTTACAACATGCATCGCTCAAAGTAAGTGATTGGTTGTTTATGTTTGTTAAATAGTGTAATAAAGAGACTCGGTATACAAAGGTTCAGCGTGACGCGTCTTCAGTGTGAATCCTCATGTTTCAGCCTGCTGTGGCGTTTTAGTTGTTTGGGTGGTTTCATTTGAGTAATATACGCCACAATATTATGTCAACAGAAAGTTGTTGTTGCGTTGATTCAAACG